TTGGCGTGATGGTGTGGGAGCGCCAGCATGCCCTCTCTTGGGGCAACATGGAGGGTGTGTACGGAGGCCTAGGAGGGGTGGTGGACACTCTGGACCTCCTCAACGGCACGTGTGGCTTCCGAGATCGCGCGCTGGCTCCCGGCATCTACGCCTTTCCGTCCCCTCGCAGTCTGCCCTTTACCAAAAACCAGCTGGGCGGCACGGGCACAGCGGTTTTCCGCGCATACACACTTGGGCTGCACCACATTGGCTCCATTTTCGACTTGTCGGACCATCCACTGGTCTTCCGTGGGGATCTCAGCTACAAGAAACGAGCCTTCACGGCTGCAGAGCACTCGCTGCTGTACAAGGATGACAACAACACATTGGAAGCTGCCGAAGCCACTGGCATCAAGGTGGGCCCCTTCACCCTTGCGCTGGATTTGGGTGGCAGCTTGATGAGGCTTCTGCTGAACTTACCCGGGCACACGACGCACACAGCCACTGTGAACACGGGTGTGGACCTCCTCAAAGAGATGGACCTGGGCCGACGGGCCGTGATGCAAGCCGATGGGCAGGTGAAGTACCGTGGCCGCCAGAGGTTCACTTACGCTGTGACGGACACGCGCTTGGAGATCGCCACTGGGGGCATGCTCGACACTTTGAAGATCCCCTTGGGACTCACCGGGCTGCTGTCGAAGAACATGAAGTTCGATCTCCTCAGCAAGCACAACATGCACGCTGGATCACGCAAGGATCTGCGTTACGCGGGCGAGCTGGTGATCGTGAACAAGAATCCGGAGCATGCACATGACGTGGAGCTTTGGAGCGAGGATGACGAGTACGAGATGGTCTTCGACAACGGCTCGGGATCCTACAAGCCCTACTGGCCAGCACCCCAGCTTGAAGAGCTGCTGCATTGCAACTTGCCGGACATCCCAGGAAAGTTCTCGATCCGTGTGATGCGTGGCTCCTTCGGTGCCGATCAGGCGACGCTCGATGCTTACTGTGACATTTGGCACGGCGTGGACGACATTCCCGAGACAGAGGAGTGCAAGAAGTCTCTTGGCTTTGTCGCCGTGCAGCCGGAGGTGCACAAGTGCTGCGGCTCCCCTGCGAAGAGCGACGACAACGGAACCTGCGTTTGGAAGTGGCCTGAGGCCGTGGAGTCCGATTGCATCGAGCTGCCAGGTCATTGCTGCCAGGAGAGCGTTGTGAGCCAACCAGGCTCTTGCTCGGCCGAGGCGACATGCCAGGCTCAAGTCATGAAGGATCCAGGAAACACGGAGGCCGAAGCGGGTGCTGCAGAAGCTTAGGTCTTGCGGATTCAGCCACAAGCAGTTTGTTTGAAGGTAGTTTTTGCATGGTCATGCATCCAGACGTGTTGCAGGTCTTTTTGGACAAGGTGAATGCTGGTGTGAAGAAGTGGTGGAATGGGCGGCGCGATGAATGCTGGGCGCGGCAGTGGCGCACGCGCATGTTCGAGTGCCTTGCAACTCATGACGTGGGCAAGCCCAGCACGCGCACCGAGACCTGGTTGCAGGGTTTGCTAGGATACTTTGCAAGCGACTCTTCGAACCAGGATAGGTGGCAGGCTTACCTGGACAATTTGCAAAAATTGGGCATCAAGCACCTGCAACTGGATCACCTGCAGCGTGGCCCCACCAACTTGGCCAATGATGAAGTGGTGGTGCAGTGCATACTGCCTTTCGTCAACAACGGCTTCCCCTACGTTCCCTTGAGTCTCAAGCTTTGGAGCTTCCTGAAAGTTGGAGTCTACGACCCTTCGGAAGGTAAGATCTTCGGTGCAAACCTTCACAAGTTGACGAGCCAATACAGGCAGTACATCTTCGATGAGCTCGACTACAAGGCCCGGGTCGGGGGCGGAGCGGAGGGGTCTCTGGGTAGAGTGTTTTTCGAAATCCACTCTTTCTCAGGGGGAGAACTACAAGACCGGCTACGACGGCGAGGAGGGCTGCCCGCCGCGTCCTTAGCGTGTTCCCTCGTGAACAATGCTGCACCCTCAGCTGGCGCGGGTTTGTGAAAGGCGCAAAGTCACTAGGTCTCAGAATCAGTGCAGACAGGTTGAGGCGCAGGTGAAAGGCTTGAGGTTCTTGTTTAGGGTGAGGTTGTGTATTCCATCCGCACTAGTGTCGGAAGACTCGGAAGACCAGGTGTGGAATCCTGGGTTGCGTGCGCTGAACACTGAAGCGTTTTTGGACACATAGGCCCTTTTGCTAGCTTCGAGTTTCCTTCCTCTCAGCCGTCCGACGGGAGGAGCAGCAATGTCAGTCCGTTTTCCTTGCGTTTCGAATCGAGTGGACCTGCGAGACCCCTGAGGTCACAGTAATTCAGATGCCAGACACGATAAGTGTACTTACAGCCTGCATACCCTTTCGGAACCCTTGCGCCCCTCAACCGGGACGCAGCTGGCTGAGGACGGCGATGACCATTCCCCGCGCTGTGGACGAGTGGGGCAATGCCATCGCCATGCCCGGCCATACCCAGGTCGGGGTTCCAGGGAACAGAAATTTGCCGGGGCTCGATCACCCGTTCCTGACAAGCGCATTGTAGCCCGAGATTGCGCGTGTATCCAAAAGCCGGGAAGGCTTGTGCCCCGTAACAGCACGGCCTCCACGACAGTATTGTAGGTGGAGGATGCTTGAGGGAAGCTTCAACTTCTCTGCGAGGAACAACCGGAGAGCTTCGAGCTGAACTTGACAGCAGGGGAGCTCGCGGCCGTGGATCTCACAGACCGCCTCGGCACCTTAGAGGCCGGGAACGGTAATTCCCGAGACTATATACCTCCCTTCTTGGCAGAGTGCACCACCACCCCCACCACCGCCGCTGCCACCACCGCCGCCGCCGACGTCCGCCACCACCGCCGCCACCACCACCACCACCACCACCCACCACCACCACCACCACCACCACCACCACCACCACCACCACCACCACCACCACCACCACCACCACCACCACCACCACCACCACCACCACCACCACCACCACCACCACCACCACCACCACCACCACCACCACCACCACCACCACCACCACCACCAGCCGACACCGGCACCAGCCGACACCGGCACCGACAGCGCAAGCACCGCCGCCATCATCGTCATCGTCAGCATCCTCCTCCTCCTCCTCCTCCTGCTCCTCCTCCTCCCCCTCCTCCTCCTCCTCCTCCTCCTCCTCCTCCTTCTCCTATTTCACCCATTTTCCTCACCATCATTCTCACCATCATCATCCTGTTCATCCCCGTCCTCCTCCAGTCATCATCATCATCATTATCATCACCATCATCAGCATCATCATCGTCGTCGTCCCCATCATCACCGCCTCTGGCCATATCACCGCCTCTGGGCATGAATTTTAGCAGCATCGCTTGGTGAGTACGAGAATCCTGCCACTTTCCCCACACGTCCCAAGGTGCAATGTGGAGCTGTGGTCGCAGGTGCCATCTCGCCGTTTGCCAGCTCCCTTTCCGGAGCTATGGTCACTGCGGTGGGTGGAGAGAGTACCAGCCAGATGTCTCCCACGGAGACGAAGGGCCTCGTCGAGAAACTCGTCCAGACTGGGTGGGTCCAGCTTCGATTCCGGCGTGGTGTGGACCCAAGCTTCTGCACCGGGAACATCTGCAACGACCGCACCATCATCGAAGGCTCCGATACTTGGACCCGATGCGGGGTCAGAATGAGCACATGCGGCAATTACTGTTGTTGCCTGGCCGGCTCGGAGTACACTTCCTCCTTTCTAGGTTACCGATGCGCCAGCTGCGGAGCCTGAGTTAAGATGGACCACGGATCAGTACGGCACCAAAAAAAGAGTGACTTTTCAGCTGCTGCGGTTTCAGACAAGCTTTGTCCCCTAGCAGCTCTCGACATCTTTCTCAAAAGCTTCTCCGTCCCTCGTTCTCCACCTCCCTTCCCTCCCTCCCTCGCTCTTTCTCTTTCTCTCTTTCGCTCCCTCTCTCTTTCTCTCTGTCTCGCTCCCTGTCTCGTGATCTCTCTCTGTCAGTTCCTTTCTGGATGCTGCGCAACTTATGCATCCTTCTCGCCATCTCCGTCTGGTACCGTTCAGCCCTGCCACACTGAGAAGACAGCATTTGCCCTACAGGGCACAGCCCACGAGACGGTCTCCATCTTTGTGCTTGGACCCTCGGAGAATGCTCTACACACTAAACCCTCTCAAATCCTTAGAGCTTTGAAGGAACCCTTGGCGGGGATACCACATTGATGAATTCTGCCGACGCTAAAACCTCATAACTCATAACCATGTCCCCCCTTATACATAACACCAATGTCATGTATACGAAAGATCCCTGAAAGGGACCCTTAGTAGGAATCCGATACTATACACTCAGGCCTGAAAGTAGCCCCTGTCTGTGCACTTTAGGGTCAACACAATATGTACTCTGTGGGTGCATGGACCGTTAGGGTCTTTCAGCCAGGAAGGAACCTATTAGTTTCGGTGTGCGAGCATATTGCCATGGACTCACGATGCATCGCAGCAGATCTATGATCGCAGCGTTGCCAACACCGACCAGCAAAGAAATGCACGTGAATCTTTCATACTGCGGAGCTCGGGTTGTCATGCTATTGCAGTCAGCGGTTCTACGAATCTGCAGGGGTCGCTGCACGTGAATCAGAGACTTGTCGTTTCCCTGAACTGCACGGCTTTGCACTGAACACATGGCGCTGGCATGCAGCACTTCTCCTTGAGGCCTTTGTGGTAACGCAGCCAGGATATCCAATGGCTTAGGCTTAATCTAAGCGGTGCACAGGAGCGATCCGAGAATTGGATGACGAGGCGACGAGGCAGTGCGCGCAGCGCTGCTTCGGAGCTTAGCCCATGCCGCTCGGCTGTCATTGAGGCGCAGAGACGCTGCAGAGATCTGTAGATAGATGAAGCCAGCACCCTTCAGCATAGGCAGAGTGCTGCAGAGCAGCATAGAACCTCCGGACAGGTCTTCTTGACCCCAAGCCAGCTCTGATGAGGCCGCAGGGCCTCCGTGAATGCGGAAGTGCAGTGGCTTGCAAGTGCTGTTCTGTCTCCTGGGGCTCGGCATCTTGGCTTGTCCAAGAGTTCTTCATCTTCAGAATCACATCCGCTGTCGTTTGACCCGCCAGGTGTTGTAGTAGCGTCCCGTGTGCAACACGATGAAATCAGGGCCAGCTTGACGTGAGACTTGTGTCGTGGAGACGAGGTCTCTTGCATCTATGGCAGAGTGGCTTTCAACTGAGTCCCGCGGCTTGGCAAGGGCATCCAGAGAGCGGACCGCAGGAGGTCACAGCTGTTCTAGAGGCTACCGAGGCCGTAGCGGAAGAGTCGCCAGAATCTGGAAATCTGACGGTCGACCAGTGGGGTTCGGCTCTGTCAGAGGATGCCGAAGATGGCGAGTTACTGAACAGCACGGCAAGCACTGCAAGCACGGCGCTGGAGCAAGCGGATGCCAGTGAGGCTTTGACCTGGTTCCTGCGAGAAGAAGCTTCGGACCCTCCGGGCTTCTCTGAGTTCCGAGACCGGCTGCTCTCTGTCCAAAAGCGCGGGCACAGCAATCCCGAGTCCGTGAAGTGGGTGGTCTTCACAGCATCCATAGGACTAGGGAACTGGATGGCGGGGCTCTCCTCGGCACTTCTGGTCGCAGGGCTGACTGGCAGGGCTTTCGCATGGATCCCAGCTTCGATGCGGGATGTTTGTACATGGATGGACTCGCCCTTGTGCGATTGGGCTAGGCATCCTGTGCACGTGATTGAGGAGGCAGAGAAAGCCCTTGAAGCGATCGCAGCAAATCCGAAGGCGAAGCCAAGGAGCAAGTCCGTCGAGGTGCTTGCAATCGACTGGAAAGGCTGCAAGTACGAGAAACTCCGCTGCATGCCAATTACACAGAAGCCGATCTTGCTTTTGCTGTCTGGAGTCTGGGTTGGCAATGTGCTACTGGAGAACCTGGATTTCCTTCCTATTTTGCAGCAAGCCTTCCAGCGGCAGCTTGCAGCCCATGGTGCACCGCATGGTGGACAGGATAGAGCGGTGGGCCTAGCAGCTGTGTGACCTCCCCAATTCAGAAGCCTATATAGCCCCATCGCAACTGCTAATGGGATATGTCCAAGATGCGCAAGGTCATTCTGGACACGTACGGCCCGTTGGTGCGCCTGGCTGAGTATATCTTCTACTGTTCTGCACCATGAATTGAGGATTGATAAGCTTCGATGTCTTGATGCTGTGCGATGATGTGCGATGTGGTGGGTCTGAGAAGACCTTGCGACTGAGTCGCTGGATCTTCCCGCCAGCGGCCGCCGTGCGCAAGGCGCAAGAGCCAGTGCCACGAAGTGCCGCGAAGCGGTCTGCCGTTGCAGGAGACGGAAGGCTACGTACAGAGATACTTGCGGCAGTCGCCCTAGTGCGGGTGTTCAGCTTTCCCCTGGTAATGACCGCCTTGTGCGCTTTGCAAAGTAGGTCCGGCAACGTCTCCATCTGCGTTCAAGGCCGCATTGTTCTCAGCATTCCTCAGCTCTGAGGGGCTCAGTGAGGATGTTCGACGAGACCGCTTAGGTGTGCCGTTCCGGTGAAAGCTCCTGCACAGGCTCCACATTACACGACTGCAGCGCTCTACAAGGCACAGCGCGAACTCGGAGACTCGGATTCGAGTTGGCACGCTCCAGAAGGTAGCCAGAATGCCTCGAGGCCTCTCCCTCTTCCTCAACTCGGAAAGGATTCGCTGGGCTAAGGATTGAGCCTTGTCTATGCCAATTTCGGCTCACGGCATCTCGGCTGCAGTTCTGCGCAGTACCTGACCATTTCTCGCCCCTCTACTTTCGTACTGACACTGGAAGCACATGCCACAGAACGACGTGACATAACATGCCCGGACCCTCCTAAGCTACAGGATCAGAAGACACGTCACGAGATCCACCTTGAATTTCTGGCCGTGTCCCACCCCTCGTTGACCGGGATCATCAGAAGCTGAGCCTCCAATCCCAAAGGATGGCAATCAACGCTGTCTCCGTGGCTTTGCTGAACGCGAACCTCGGCCGAACAAGTCGTTAAATTGACAACCGCCTCCCCTCAGAATGGCTACCAGTGACAGCGCTGTGCGAGCTGACTTCACACAGAGTGCCCTCACACCACATGGTTACATTAGGAAGTCCAGCTTCTGTTCGGGGTTAACTCGTCGCGGTCTTTGGTGCGTACAGGTGCGACATCTTCATCGTGCAGCCGGCATAGCTGGGCTCTGCCAATGTGCTAGATGGCTTGCAATGTGGCTGCCAAAAAGCGGGTTCGTCTGACCGATGTCGACCAACTGTGCTGTGCAGCGCAGATGACGGCGTTTTCCGCGCACAGAATCAACACGCAGGTGTTCTGGCGCTGTCCTGAAAGCCGGCTGGCAACCGCAGTGGAATGTGTAAAGGCAGAGCGCTTGATAGCAGGGCCTACAGTGGCAATCTGGTAGCTCGACAGGTCACACTCCAAGAGCCTCAGCAGAAAGCCGCCATCATCCGCAGCATCCGTATCAGGCAAGCCACGTGGCCAAACGAATAATCATGGCAACTACTTGTGTTGTTTTCTGAGCTTCGCAGGTCCGGGAAACCACGTCGTCTTTCTGAGCCGCTTGTTTGCAACTCGGCAACGGCTGTGAATGGTAAATTTTTGCCTCGACTCGCCGAGGCTTGAAGCACTTGATGCTGGGGACTTGAATCAGGCAGATCAGCCAAGACACAGGACGCCGTCACTACAGCATTTCCAAAGCGGAACACACTCTGCAGGCAGATTTCATGGTGGTGGACTTGGATAATTGGCAGGACCGGCTGCGAGAGCTTCGAAAAGCATCAAAAGCTGCGCACGTTACTCCCTGCACTTGCGATTCAGGGGAAGATGGTCGCATGGAGCATCAGCGTCTGCAGCTAACCAGGGCATGAGTGAAATCTTCACCCGACAGTTTTGTGATGTCTCGCGATTGCTCCAGGTCAGTGCCGCCTTCTTTGCGGGGTGTTTGGTTTTCGTTGTGGGTTGCGCGCAGCCCTGAGCTTCAGTGCTGGAAGTCGTTAGCATTCCAGCGGTTCTGCGACAAAATCGGCGCACAGGCAGCCACTTCACTGCATGTGCCGGGACTCCGACGACGCGAACTCAAGCGCAGGAGACGTGCTGGTAGTTGGAGAGAGCCAGTGTGTTCGATTCGCTCATCAGGACCAATCAGGGCAACACAGAAGGGGGCAACACTTTGGAAAGGCAAGACCCGACCCTTCGCCCGAAGTTCGTCGAACCCCGCCGGCGTTCGCCGAACCCTCGCCGAACACCTCCCCTCCTTCGAACCTTTATTATTAAATTCTAATATTATTAATATTAATTAATACTAATAATACTAATAATAACTAATTAATATTCATTTAATTATAATTAATATTAATATTAATATCAATAATACGAATACTAATATAATACTAATAATACTAATACTAATATAATAATACTACTAATAATAACTACTAATACTAATATTAATGCTAATACTAATTTGTTTAATACTAATACTAATAAAATCCTAATACTAATGTTACATAAATTATTATTATATTTAAATTTATTTAAATACTAGTACTTATGATACTGATATTTCAATATAATTTGTAACAACAGAACTAATAATACTAATAAACTAATTAAATTAGTAATTAAATATTACTAATACTAGTATTATTAATGATGTATTAAATACAAATATTTATTAAGTCTCATATTAATAATTTTAGTAATATTTATATTCAAAAAATACAAAGGTGAAATTACAATGAATGTGAAAAACTAATAAACTAAAAAGTATTAGCAATAATGTGCATAATTTAACCTTATCACGAATGGCTCATAGTATAATAGATTTGCATTCGAAGACTGAATGGCTTGTATTCTTAGTCATAGATGAACAATATGGGAACCCTGTCATGAACAATTAACTTGCAGAATACTTGTTAGTGTGCTGTTCAGAGTTACTAATTGATAATCAATGTCCATACAGGCCATTGTCAATAAAGTATATTGTTTGTTAGCTATTTCTTATTATTCAATTTGTGATACTATCGCTAGTGGTAACAATTTAAACAATAATTTTTAAATAACTCATCATCAGCACACTATTTCTCACAGGGGCCTGCCTATCACCGGTACGATCCCAATTCATATTCTAATAGTATCAATAATAAAAAAACTCAGTTTCCTGATTGCTTAATTTGGACGCAGAACATGTGTGTCCTGGATATGCATCTATTTTCTTTGAGTGGTTCTGTATAATAATTAAGCAGCTTTATGAACTTGTGTATGATATGATGTCAACACTAATCAAAACATACTGCCGTATAAGTGATGAATAATTAAATACACACTTTGACTTAGCTAGATTCGTGGTTTTGCCTGTTGTTACACTGAATACTGGCTAACAAGAACAATAGTACTATTTTATAATCAGCAGGTTTCAGCAAGATTGAGTACAATAATATCACGATCATCCCTCTGCTTGTAACCAGAAAGAATAAACAACAGTTGAGTCGAAAGAACAAACTTGACAATAGTGTAGCCAGAGGCTTAGGCAATTACATTGTTACTAACTGTTAGCAGCATAAAGAATGTAGTTAATAGCAACAACAAATATGAACACATATAGATACTCACCATCATCATCGTCATCATAATCATGCGTGCTGCTGTGTCTTTTTGTTTTGGGAAGGGGGGAAGGTTCAGTCAGGGCAAGACTTCGGCTTCGCTGCAGTTGGGAGGGTTTGGGGTTTGCGAGTCTTGCAGGGTTTGGCCCGAGTCCATTGTAAGAACCCTATTCCCAAAGACCCGAAAGAAAAGAAACCAACCCCACCATGCAGCCCTCCTGAAGCCGCAAGCCCAGCCCAAGCAAGAGAGCATTCACGTCTTGGACAAGATCATGGTGATGCTGGGAGCCCGGGCAAAGTACTCAGTGAGGGTTTCCGGGTGAGCGCCTAAGGATTCGGGTTAGGAGTTAATGGGCCGACCGTGAGGTCGTGCCCGGGTCTAGGAGTAAGATTTACGCTAGCCGGGTCGACCGGGAGGTCGCGCCCGTTTTTGCAAGACGTCCATCGGACGCCGGCCGTGAGGTCGTAAGAACAGCGGCTGGGAAGCCGAGTCGTAATACGGCAAGAATTAGCAAGACGTCCATTTGGACGCCGGCCGTGAGGTCGTACGAGTAAGAGATAGCAAAGTCACTATATGGAGAGACGGTAGGGAGTAAGGTGTAAGATCAACAGACGTCCATAGGATGCCGACCGGGCGGTCGCAAGATTAGAAAGGAGGGTCAATGCAGAGTAAGATTATTCTTCCAGCAAGCAACTAGTTACGTCGTATTGAACTGATATTATTGGCCATTGGTTGATGGTTGTTGGGTTGAGTAGTCAGTGTTACAGTGTATAATAAGACTGTGATGTGTTTCTTGATGTGGGAATTTCAGGGCAAGACCTAACCCTGCCGAGAGCGTAAGAACCGATGACGAACGCCCCCTGATAAATACGGAGCTTCCGCAAGCTTTGAATGTAAGTCGTAAGTGTAAACCGAACCACCCTCTCCCGCGCAAGATTCCGATTTGCTAGCTGCCCGAAGCCATCAGACTTGAACTCTGCCTGACCTCAGACCCAACTCCGAGCCCTAAACCGGGACCAATCTCCAAACAGGCAAGAACATTTGTAAAAAATGTTAGACATTAGTTAGAGACTTGCCCAAGGCAATCAATCAATATACAAAATTCAAATCAATTAATAATAATATACAAAATTCATGCTAAGTGAATTGCCAGATTGACTACCGAGGCCAGACCTCCGCATGCCTCGTCGTGCCAGATTTCTAGCAGGAGGAGACCCGGGTGGTTTGGTTTTCTGCAGTGGGCTTTTGATCAGATCAATAATCGAATCAGCGGTTGTTGACCATTTGTCAGATTTGCGTCAAGGTTGAATTGAGTCAGCAAGAACAGTGCGTCCGCAGTTGACCAGGTTGTCTCAGTCAGACTCAGAAGCATAATTAATTAATTATATTTTTTACAACGTAGAGTGAGTGAAGACGAGTAGACACTGACACGTAGTAGCTCCGCTTCCATGGCTGACCAGTGGCAAGATCAGCAGTGGAATGACCGTGCCACGCGGTGGAATGAGTGGCAAGATGACCAGTGGCGGTGGAATGAGTGGCAAGATGAGCAGTGGCGGTGGAATGAGTGGCAAGATGAGCAGTGGCAAGATCAGCAGTGGAATGACCGTGCCACGCAGTGGAATGAACACCGGCACTGGCCCGAGCAGCAGGGGGGCGACGAGGACCGGAGCAAGAAGAAGAAGAAGAAAAAAAAGGGGGAAGGCGCCGTACTCCGACACACGCTTAAACGGTTTGGCGTGACTTGGCATCTTGATAATAAAACTAACCTTTAAGACTTACTTGTTAAAGATTAGTATTATATTATTCAGTCGTCACATCCATGGCTGGACTCAGGTAGTTGGCACGCAAGAGTTATATTGCAGGCAACGAGCTGCACGGCAAGAGGTCCTCAACAAAGCCAAGGCTCCTCAAGTGGTCGTGGCCAGATGTAAAGCAGAGCCAAGCAGACCACTCGTGGCCAGATGTAAAGCAGAGCCAAGCAGACCAGAGGACAGACCAGAGCCCGTGGAGCCACAATCAACTTCGCCAGCACAGGTGAACATGCCTTCCCAGCCTCTGCCTGAGCCAGAGCCTGCGGCATTGCCCCGCCAGCCAATTGGACCACCCGTCAGCTTTGGCCCCCCAGCAAGGCCGCAGCCAGAACAAGCACTGAAGCCACAAGCAAGTCAAGCCACAGCCGCAGCAAGTCCAAGGAGACCACCTGAGAGCCTTTTAAACCCAAGGCATTCAGCAAGACCAGAAATGCCAATGCCACGAGCAAGTCCAGCCACAGCCGCAGCAAGCCCACCACCAGCAGGGCTGCAGCACCAAGCCCAAGCCCCGCTAACTCCGCGGCCAAAAGGACGGCCAATGCAAATAACTGAGCCAGCACAGCAACAGCAAGAGCAGCAGGTCCAACAAGCCCCGCCAACTCCTCAGACTCCCCCCCCCCTCCTCGCAGCGGCCGCAGCAAGTGGCACAGCCACGGCAACAGCAACCAGCCCCACAAACTTCAGCTGCACAAACTCAGCAAGGGCTTCTAGCAGAACCGCCGCAGGTCCCAGAAATGCCGCCACCGCGGTGGCGGCCGTTGCGACAGCAGCTGCAGCAGGGAGCCCCGCCG